AGAAAAAAATTAAAAAGGAAAAAAGGAACTCTTGTTGGCGTTTTATTCACTTTGCTCACCCATGGTGAGGAAATGCTGCTGCACTGATACTAATAACTTATCAGGCAAAATCCTGTAGTGGGAATGTTTTAATGAATAGAGCTTTGTGAGTCCTCTGAAAAGGAGATTATTTGTAAAGATCTAACCTTCATCTGTAATTAGTTTTAAATCATCTAAATCAGCAGGGCAAAACATCAGAAAATCACCTTTCAGATAAAGTCCTTGACAGTCACATATAATAGATCTGTAGGTCATTCTGGGAATTAAGCTGTATTACTATTCACTGTTCTTTCTCATATTTTTAGTAAACAATTACTTGTAAAAACATTTTTTGAGCAGCTCAAATCATCTCATACATATCACACAAAGTAAACGACACAAAACCAAATTAAGAACACATGAATACTCATCAAAGGAAACATAGCTGGTGCTGGATTGGCTTCCCAGATCTAATTGAAACAAGGCAGGTGGTAGACAACACATTAGTTAGGTCTGTTGTTATTTAGTTGGAATGTCTGTGTACTTTTGTTTCTTTTCCCATGAAACACTCTGTGCTGTGACCCCGTGCTCTTAGACCCCTCAGTCTCTGAGGAATGGGGACACCAGCAACACGACGGGGTGAACGCATTCTCACATGTCACTGTTATTATTATTAGAACTACAATGATGAGAGAAAATTGATGTACCAATCGCCTTGTCTTTGTGCTGCGTGGAAGCATAATTACAGTATTGTAATGCCCATTGTTGTTGCGTACAAAGTATATGCGCAAGCCTGGAAGTGTGACTAAAGTTTGAATAAAGTAAAAGGGCCCAATCTTGATACAAAGTCAATTTTAAACATTTATTATGCTTTTCTAATTCGTTGCTAACTTCACTCACTTTTTGTTGCAGCCACGTCTTCAGATTTAGCCTCAGAATCACCACAGTTGGGTTTTTGTGTTTTCTGTTCTGTGATTTTTGGTTGTTAAGATGCTTGCCAGTGTTTGTTCCTTCCTGCTGTGAAGTTATTAGACTGATAAACACGGAGAACAAAAGTCCCAGCTAAGAGAGCAGTGAGAGGTGCTGTAGAGTAAACAACTGTTGTTTTTTTCCTGCTGAGACATGACCATAAGGAAGCTACAGCAGCTGCATAGTCATCAGAAGTTCAGTGATGTCCAGCTTGTGCACAGCTTTAAGTGGCGCCAGAACCATCTATAGTTTGGTGTCGCAAAGTGTCGCTCTGCTTTTCAGCATATTTTGAGTCATAGTCTCGTTCTTCGTATTACTATATTTATTTTATTTTTTTATTTTTTACCGTCAGGTTTTCAACATTTAGATGATCTGTGTTTATGTCCTGTTTAAAATGCCTTTCAGTAAAACGGTAATTATCTGTAAACACAGACATGCACTGCAGAGATCACTTTTCCACACGCCGCCTTCCTAGGGGGAAAATCACACAATAATTCGTCTGGGTAGGGCAATAAATTTTATGCTGCAATCAGCGAGTCAGAGGCTGTTGATCCCAATAAGGGTTGAATATTTGTATTGAGTAGGATACTCGGTGTGAAGGGCAAAGCAGACCGACCATGATGAAGGGCTGAGCTTTGTATCCCTTATTTAAATGTTAAGCTGTTTCTTGATGTAGGAAGAAAGCAATCTTCTCAGTGCCCTAAACAGGCAATAAGCAATATACATAATTATGTTAAATCATGTGATAATCATGGTTTACAGAAATTTGGAGTTCAGCTGTGAGATTATTTGTTTTAGTGTTCATGAGAAGTGTTTAGTCACAACAAATACTGATTGTTCCTGTGTACTGGAGACAGTCATGAATTATTTATGACCTCTGACTGCAGCTGTTAGAAAAAAAAAATACTGACTGTCATATTCTTACTCCTCTTGTTTTTATGGGAGGCTGTGTTAAAAAAAAAAAAAAAAAAAAAAAATCTTTTTGTTACTTTGCCTTGTTGGTTTTGATTCCTTAGCTTTTTCTTTCTTTACTCCTTCTTGCTAATGTTGAAGCTGCGTTTCTCTATGTCAGTTTCTCTGTTTGTGTCTTTTACCTTTTAAAATACAGAGGAGGTTGTTTGCCGTCTAATTAAATCGCACCGCATTGTTGCATTGAATAGAATTTAACAATGTAATAATGTTTGAATAGAAACAAGTGATAAAAACTCTGTAAATAAAGCCAGACATGTTGACTATACTGAGCCAAGACTGATTTTTAGGAAGTATATTTCAGATCTCTCTTTGTTAGAATTGCATTGGGAAGGAAACTTATTGCTGATTACGTTTCTGGAACATCCCTAATTGTATTACAGTGGAGCTGATCCACAATATCAGAAAATCTTGAGTACACACACACACGCACACACACACACGGATCATTTAATGGTCAGTTACCAAGGGTTTTTTCCATCCCTTGTCTCTCTTACCTTAATTTCAGCAGGTTGTCAGGAGTGACAAGTCCACCTTTGTGACAGGCTCAGTAGCCATTTCTTTTTTTCTTTTTTTTCCCTTTTGTCTTTTTCCTTTTTTCTTTTTTTTAAATTTTTTTTTATAACTTTGAATCTGACCCATGTCTCCTTTTTTTTTTTTTTTTTTTTCTCCTGTGATCCGTGATGGTACCATATTTAGTGCCTATCCTTTTCAAAGCATCTGGCCCCATAAGGTGAGAGCAGAAATGTAAATGTCATCCGGCTAATTAAAGACCCTTTAAACAGACCCTATGTCTGAACAAGCCTTTAATGAGCTTTGAAGGCTACATGAGGATGTGAGAGTGTGTGGAAAACTGGACCAAAAACTTTCCCCACCGTAGACCTCCCTGCATGTAGCTCAACTATATTTCACAGTAATTGGTCTTCCAAGAAGAAGAATCAGAATCAGAATACTTTATTGATCCCTGGGGGAAATTATTTTTTGTTACAGTGCTCCATTTTAAACCAACATTAAGACAAGACAGACAATACGCTAACTAAGAATAGTACAATATATACATATATATATACATACATATATACATAAGTCACTTATAAATAAGTGTGAGATAAAGACATATGGGGAAGAAGAGCAGTGGAGTGAAAGATTGGGGGTGAAAGAGCCAAACTAAAGCAAAAGTGGACCTGGAATGTTAAACGCAGTGTGATTGCAGTCCAGGGGGGCGTGGAGGCATTCATGTGTTTCCACTGCTAAAGCTGGCATGCCCAGTATGAGGATGACCTAAGCGACTTTGAATGAGGGTTCATTGTAAGGGCATGGTTGAAATGAGCTTCAGTCATAAAAACTACTCGGCTGGATAGTTTTTCCATTAGCAGCTGTGACCGCAGAGGCCTCTGTATTTAGATTTACAGGAAGGATGTCAGTAAATGTGAACCAACTCCTATTTTTTTTGATGACCGTACCTAATTGATGTCAGAAATTGTGGTTTGGCACTGTGATCACATGTACACTGTGTCTGTGTGATGTGTTGAGGTCAGTGCAGTACGCTTCAGCAAAACTAGCCATCAAGAGTTAAATAGAGAAGGATATTTAATAAGGCTGCAATGCATAAACGTCTCATTACAAAGACAAATGCACATGTAAGAGTTTACTCCTCAGTGGAGATGTGGGGAAAGGAGATGTGGTCAGATACGTCATCCTTCACTGTGGTCCAGCATGTTTGGCCCCTACAGTGACGGGATGCTGATGGTATTTTGCTGCCATGTTTTAGTTTCCACTTGTCTCTTCAGAGAGAAGAGGTCACAGCAAATCGATACAGAGTTGCCCTGGGTGATCACCTTTTATCCTATGATGAAACATTTCCATCAATGATAACTGTCCTTTTTAAATCTTTTTTTATCACAAAGATGGTTCTCCCATCTCCAGGGCATCAGGGGTCAGGCAGTGGTTTGATGATAATGGCATGGATTGTTTGCTATATCTTCATGTTTCAAATCTGCCAGTTAAAGGTTAATGAGATTTTAGGCTGGTGTGTCAGGCAGAATTCTTAAGATCATCAAAACACCAAAGAAAGGATGTATTTTTGGAAGAATGGTTTTCTGTTAGCTCCAACCATTTAATGCAACTGTTTAATGCAAACATTGTCATGTTAAGTGTGGGCCTGTGAGAGAGAGAATCAAAATTATATCTCACCATTTCAAGGAAACTTGTGATAATAATATTTCTAATGGTCTAGGAGAAAAATACTGAGGGATTTATTAGTGATGGCAGCTTGCATTTAGCTGCATTTATTAGTGCAGATAGAATGAAGGGCATTTCCATCTTTCTTTTCCACTCCTGTCACTGATGACAGAGTCTAATGTGAAGAATGACATTATCAAGGTGGAGCAACATTAAAGTCCAATAGTACTGACACAGCATCAGTCAAGTGTGAGCACGGTAATCTGGGTAGTGTTATCCCTGGGAATTTGAAGTAAAATTATAAAATAATCGCTTAACAATACCTTACGTATCTTAACCTTAGTCTCTGCAAGAGCTGCTGCACAATATTCTCACATATTGAAATTGAAAAATATTTTTTTCCTGTTGTATTTTGGGTCAGTCTTTTTAAACAGGTACTGAAAGCCCTCTTCTTTTTGTTTTTCTATCAGGATTCTCTGTCTGTCTGCTTTCCCTGGCATATGGTGCGCTGCTAGTGATGCTCGGTGGGGTCTTTTGTTTATGTTTGGGTTGCGCATCGCCAGCTGTTAGCATCTTGTTCTCGCATTCCTTCATAACCTGGTTCACTGACGCCACAAAATGTCACATAAAACTGACACTCTTATTATCGTGGACAGTGTGATGTGGCACAGCTCTTGTCACGTGTTTGCTAAAGTTCTTGTTTTCAAGGTCATTTTTACTGAAGTCTTTCTGAATTCAAATACTTCTATTGTTGTTTTATTTTTAAGTCCTGATCACCAACACTGAATGAATGTGATCTCTTACCAAGAATCAGTATTCATGTAGATGACTGAAAATCTCCTTTCTTGTCATCCTCTTTCCAGATGAGGGTTACTACCAAAGTGGAAGGTTTCAATTTGAAATAGATGTCCCTGAAGCCTATAACATGGTGGTGAGTAGTCAAGTTTCTCTCCTGTGGGCTGGTTTGAAAAGCACATTTCTGTGCCCGTGGGTGTCTCTGTGTTAGCCTGCTCACCTCTTCCTTTTGTTTGTTCTTTCACTCATTCTTTTCCTACCAAGCATTTATTCTGATACTCTTCTGTGTAAGTGTATTTATTCTGTGTTGTTTTTCTCCCTTTGCTCTACATTTTTTCACACAATCATTATTTGCTCCACACAAGTATATGCAGCACTTCATAATAGCTTCACAAATCCTTCTGCATAAAAAAGCAATCATTTTAGCTCATTTAGATCTTAATGTAAGGAATGTAGTAATAATAATAATAATGCATTTTATTTATAGGCGCCTTTAAAGACCCTCAAGGTCACCTTACATTAGTGCAACAAAATAAAAACACGAGGTAAATGAAAAATAAAAAATGTATGAAAATATAAAAGCTCAACAAGGTAAAAAGAGAATAAGACGGAATCATCATGAAGGGTATGCAATTTTGAATGGATGGGTTTTAAGACGTGATTTAAAAGTAGAGAGTTTGTAGTCTGGGGGTCTGGTGGAAGTGCATTCCAACGTCTCAGGGCAGAATAACTAAAGGCTCTGACTCCCATGGTAGTCAGGTAAACAGGTGGAACAGATGGAAGGGAAGCTAAAGAAGAGCGGAGTGTACGAAGTGGTGAGTGCGTATGGAGAAGATCAGATAAATATGGAGGAGCGAGGTTATGAAGCGCTTTGAAAGTAAGAAGCAGGATCTTGAAATCGACACGGAGGTGAATTGGAAGCCAATGGAGTTGTTTAAGTCTAATTCTGAAAATAATACATGCAGCTGTATTTTGAACTAACTGCAGTTTAAGGAGAGATTTGTGAGGTAGACCATAGAGAAGTACAGTAATCTAAACAAAATGTGACGAGCATTGGCAAGTATGGCAGTACTGTTTGGAGTGAGTGAAGGTCGAAGGCGGTTAATAATACGAAGATGAAAATAAGTTTTGATTTGGTTCCTGTTAGAATAAATTCTGGGAGCTTTTTGCCATTAAGTTTAAGAAAATTGTGAGTAAACCAAATCGAGATTTCTCTTAAACAATCAGAAATGGATGTGGGTGGGAGAGTAGCTGTGGGTGTGGAAGATAAGTAGAGCTGGGTAGGGCTGCCACAAACAATTATTTTGATCGTCGACTAGTCACCGATTATTTTTGCGATTAGTCGGCTAATCAGATCATCATCCATTGGACATAAAACATACAGCTTATTGCACCAGTAGCATCTGCTCTTATATAACTATCATTAGCTTACAGCTTTAAGTGTTTAAGGTCTGTGCTAACTAAAAATAAAGACAAGATGATAGTTTATTAAATTTTAATGACATTTGCAGATTGTTTCGTTGGAGTTTAATAAACTCAGCCGTCTGCTCCTTGCTAACTAAAATATAAAAGGACACTGGAGTAAATTCTCGAGTATCTCACACTTCTGATAATCAGTTGTCTGCTTGACGTTTATTCAGCTGTGTAAAAACTATAACTTTAATCTCAGCCAAACAGATTTACTCAGGAACAAATAAAATACTAAAAAAAAGCCAAACAATAACATTTTTCAGTTATCTAAGTGATTTTAATAATTGACATTATCATGACTAGTCGACTAATCGTGGCAGCCCTAGAGCTGGGTGTCGTCTGCATAGCAGTGAAATTGGATGTTATATTTCTTGAAAATATTACCTAAGGGTAGGAGATGGATAATAAAGGGTAAAGGACCCAGGACAGAGCCCTGGGGTACACCAGAGTTAACTGGAGTAGATGGGGATCTGTGAGTGAGTAATTGAACAAACTGTGAACGGAAACGGAGATATGAGGTAAACTAGGCGACTGTTAAGATGCAAAACTGTTTTGTTTTTTTTGTTTTTTTTTTTTAAATGCCTACATTTATTACTGGCTTGACTCCAGCAGTTAAACTGAACTATCTTTACAAATGATATGATGCACTAAATTAATAATTGCTGTATCTTAGTAAGGTTAGCTGTGAGTCTGTGCTCGCAGGTTGTAAATATGGTTTTCTCCTCATGGTAGAGCCAGAATAAAGTCGGGGGTTAGAGACGGAATTAATGAACACATAAATACACTCATACATGCTGTTTATGGAGCAAATTACAATTCTCAAATAAAATCTTTATACATCAGTAGTATAAATTTCAAAACTTCTACGTTGCTCATTCTTGAGTTATCATGTTGACAAACTTGCATGTCCGCATCGCCCGCTCGGCAAGCTGACTATAATACTCTGTCAGCCTTTTACGGCTGAGGGCTAAACACCTGTTAATCATGGGAAAAAAAAGCTTTTAATTTTGACATGTATCTCTGACCTGAAGCGAGGCTTTCTTATGAGCTGTGTAGCTGTAAAATCTTGCTCATGGACAGATCCTTCCTGAATAATCACCAAGAAAAATAATTTCCATGAACAGTTAATCAGATCGACTTTACGACTCAAAATGTCAGCTGTTAGGGGAATAATAAGTGGGTTTATTCATTATCAGACTGACACTCACGTCTTTTTAAAAACAAATTCTTTCTAATCTGAACTGATACAAATGTTCACCTTGCTGTTGAACAAGAAGTTCTTGATTATAGGTTTTTAAATGTAAAAAATAATCTGCTAATTTCAAATGGCCTAAAATGTTACATTAGTTGATCTATTGATAAACTTTAACTGAAACACAATCATAATTAATGGTCAGTCATTAAAGGACAGTCAGTTGCACTGTGCTTTTCTAGTCTTACTGACCAGTTAAACAGTATTACAACACAAGCAAAGAGAAGCATTTTCAATAACTGTTAGATTTGTTCCAGAAATACCCCCTCACTTTATTGTAATCCAGTTCCTGTTAGATGTGAAGTATCAATACTTGTTTATGTTTAATAGCTTTGTCGTCTCCAAATGCAATAGTTGGTTGTCACATGTAGGTACTCAAAATGTCAAGATGGGATTGACATCAGTGTAAGACTTAACTTCATGATATAGAAACAAGTAATTTGAGAAATTAAATCCATATAATTTAATTCTCATCAGAACCACATCACATAGCTGCTGGTATAAAGTTTTGTAGATATCAGGACATCAGAATGACTCTACAAAGACATAATTATAATTATCACTCAAGTCACTCCGACGTATCGGGGTGAAGTGAACAGTGTGTGTCATGCAACAGCGTTTCTTCATTTTCAAGTATTTATGAGTGCAATCTCTTTGTAATAAGCTGTTAGTCATAAAAAGTGCGATAAGAAATATTTCTTTTTTGGCTGTACTTGAAAATAGGGTGTTGTGACTTGCTGGGGGCTACTGTATATTACTCTTTTTTTCATAACAAAATGGCTCCAGACAAATAGCATTATAGGAAAAAGAAAGTAGCCATCAAGTCCAGAATGGGGAAGCTTAAAGCCGTTTAAAAAATCTGATTAGCAAAAAGTTTGTTTTTGTTTTGGACAGAAATAGAATCAACAGCAACATATTATTATTATTATTATTATTATTATTAACAACAACAACAACAACAAGTTTAAAAATAAGAACAACTGTGCAGGAGAGGTTAGGAAGACCATAAGGTTTTATAAGGCCACCTCCCCTATAACATTAACAGGTTAGCAGGAGAAACAGATAAGTGACATACAATAATTTACTAATATAATAAATATTCACATCATAAACTATTAGAAATTAACATTGGTTTTTATTGTTTTTTGAAAGATTAAAATGCAGTTATCGACTGAAGAGCTGGTGGTGGCTTGTTCTCATATGAAGGTCCTCTGTATTTAAATCTATTTTGCCCAGTTAACGTTGTTCATAAGGGTAAACAAAAACCACCACAATGTCTTGTTGAATAAGTACGTGCATCTGAAGTTGAAAAGTAGACGATAGTGTCACAGGAAATTCGATTTATCTATGTTTTTTCTCATCATGCTGCAGTAGTGGGAGCTCTAAGCTAGAAACCTTCCTTACTGTCTTCTTTGGTTTTACTTACTTAATTCAAACACCATCTTTGAAACCACTCCTGTAAAGCTACAATAAAATTCTAATTACATGATTTTACTGTTTTTACAGTGGCCTATGTCACATTTGCTAACAAAGAAAAGAGGTCAGAAAAGTCAATAATGCTTTACTAGAAACAGCAGGATACGAGGCACGTGCACCAAAGGCTCAGACGCATCCTCGTTGCCCAGAAATGATGACTAGACCATTTTTGGACACTCTGCTGGGTTTTGTGTGCTCTGCTTTTTAACTGCTGTTTGCACAACACGATTCAAAAAAGAAACAATACTCATTTAACATGATTCCTCTGTTTTTATTTTCTGGTTGAGGGTTTTCTTTCTTGGACATTTCTCTGATTAATTAAGTTGGTTTAGAGCGTGTATGAAGTGATGCTCAGGTAACTTGGGAGACTAATAGGAAGTAGAAATGGACTGCTTTTAAAACATCACATAATGTTAAAATAATCAGATAACTTAAATGTGTCTCTTCCTAAATTGTTGGTTTGTTGGTTTCCAGCCTCCTAAAGTGAGATGTCTGACCAGAATATGGCATCCCAATATCACGGAGAATGGAGAAATCTGTTTGAGGTAAATTGTGTGTACCCTTCCCCAATATTACTTCTTCCTAGCGCGTGACATTTTATCTCATGTTGTCATTTTCTATTTAGCCTAGAAATTGATAGAAAACCAAAACTGAAAAATAATTTCTCTGAGCCCTCATTCTTTGAGAATCCTCGACAATGCATGCAAATGCAAAAAAAAATTAGTAGTCTACAGTAAAAAAAAAAACATTGTGCATTAAAAAGCTCACACAAAGCATCTTACATAAAGCGCAAGCGTTTACAGTATTGCAGATACTCTAGCTGTGTATCTCTTTTTTCTTCTGCAGCTTATTGCGGGAGCACTCTATTGATGGCACAGGCTGGGCCCCCACTAGAACATTAAAGGTAAAGTGTAACTTTTTCTTCAGTAGAATTTCCTTTTCTTTGTTTTTGCTGTGTAATTGAACTTTGGGGTCATCATCAGTGTTTTATCTGTGGGCTAGGGGTTCAATTCAAGTCCCGTTACAAAGATGTGGCTCAAAGGTGTGATGAAAGGTGCAGTTTGCTGATGTCGGCAGTCTTACTAGAATTGGACTCTATGATGAAAAAAAGTTTGGACCCTTCTAATTGCTACATCATAATATTTATGAATCTCTCCTTAGCTTTTGATACCATTGCAATGTACCCAAAACTCAACAAACTATCTGGATAACAGGTCAATTTTCTCCGTCAGAGACCAACATGTGGTGGTCATAGTCTGCCAAGCGTGTTTGAAACCCAAAGCTTTTGTTTTGCTCTGTTCCTGCTATGAAGCGCACAGATATCTTAATTTATATGTGAATCAAAATTAAACTTAATGCTATTATTTTTTTCAAGACTATTTCAACTAACTATATAACTTATATCGTGCTGAACCCTTGGAGGGAAATATTGATGCAATGCTAATTTTTAAGAAATGTGGACACTGTAACATGTAAATTAAAGCAAAATACAGTGATTTGCAAATCTCATAAAACCCATATTTTACTCGCAGTGAAATGTAGAAAACATCAGATGTTTAAACTGAAATAATGTCCCATTTTCAGAAAAAAATAAAGTCATTTTGAACTCTATGGGAGAATCGTGCGTCAAACATTAGGACGGACCCAGCATGTCTTTTTTTATTTAACAGTCTGTAAACATCTGGGAACTGAGGAGGGGCGCTGCTAGACTTTGGGGAGAAGGAGGTTGACGCAGTCTCGTCTGAGCGAGGATTCTTGCTGCTCAGCCGTCCCTGGTCGTCCTTGTCCAATTTTATTTTTTTCATTTCATGACGAGCTAAATGTTTTTAAAAGGTAAAATGTCTGGAATGTAAGTTGGCCAGTTCATCGCCCAGACTCTTCTGTGAAGCCATGTTGTTGTAATAGATGTAATGCGCAGTTCTGCTTCCTCTTGCTGATTATCCTGAGTATGAATATGTAAGGTTTTGCTTAGATAAATGGGAGCATATGTTCCTCTAAAACCCATGTCACCCTATATCATCAAAGATCAAGAGTTTTGAACTGCAAGCCAGATGCCGTCAATTAATTTCAAGTCGCTTGACCACAGAACAGTTTTCCACTTTTCTTCAGTTCATTTTAAAAAGCCTTGTCCCAGAGAACATGGTAGTGTTTCTGGATCACGTTCACACATGGCTCCTTCTTTGTATCATAGAGCTTTAACCTGCATTTGTGGATTGCACGGTAAACTGTGTCCTGGACGTGTTCCTGAGCCCAGGCAGTAATTTCCATGACAGAATCAAGCCTGTTTTTAATGCAGTGCTGCCTGAGGGCCTGAAGACCACGTGTTTGCACGCAGATATTTCTTTTGAAGGCGTTACGTACTGCAGATAATAAGATATTCAAAGTCATCACAAATTTAAGTGGAGCATCGTTATTCTGAAATTGTTCTTCTATTTGTAGACACTGTGTTTTTACAGACTTGCAGACTGGTGAACCTCTGCCCATCTTTTCATAAACATGTTTTCTGTGCTCTATTGGGAGTAAAATATGGGTTCATGAGTTTTGCAAGTGATTGTTTTCTGTTTTTATTTACTTTACACAGGAGTTGGGGTTGTACATGATTTCAAACACAAAAGACACGAGCATCACACTCCTTGACACACGAGCATCACACTCCTTGACACACAGTGTCTTTCACTTTCTTAAACTAACAAAGAGGCAGAAAAAATACAGCTCAGAGCTTTGGCATTCTCTCAGGACACAATAAAGTGTTGCAGGGCCGTGGAAGATAAACTCCACAATAAAAAAGCTTTTCAGCTGCATGTAAAAGAAAGCCTTGACTTTTCATGCTTCACCCTTCACTCAATTTAGACTTTTTTTTTTTTTTTTTAATCTCTTAAGAAAGAGTTACTGAAGACTCGAGCAAGGACGTCCTCCTCTAGCCCAATTCAAGATTGTCTGAAATAATGTCTGATAGAAACTATGGACTGAAACATAATGTAGTTGTACTTTCTACGTTAAATAAGATTTCTCTGCAGAGATTCAAGAGTATATAAAAATTGCTGTCACAAACTGCATTGGTATGCTCTTGTAGCTTTAGAAATATGCAAATGTATGCATTTGAAGTACTGGGTGGGCTTTCTTCCTCCAGTGCAGGATTTCCGAGTTTAGAGGGTCATTCACTAAATCCTCTTTGAATACCCTCGAGTTTCCTGCAAAGGCGCTTGTCGGAAGTTACTGTCAGGATTTGTCTTACCCTTTATTCCTGTTTTAGGTTTTGTGTGTGTGTGTGTGTGTGTGTGTGTGTCAATCCAGACTAGCTGCCTTCCTTTGCCTTTTGTTTTGTTTTTTGCAGACATTGCTTTTATTCTTTACCTTCCTTCAAAGAAGACACATTCCTTTATTCTTGTACAAACACTTTGTTCATACTATTTGTCCTTGTACAATATGTCTCACATAGTTGAAACTCTCAGGCTGGTTATGTTTTCTTTTATTGGGTGATCATCATTACAGGTTTAGTATCCCCAGAGCATTGAATAAATGATGTTACATTATTTAGCATGCTCTCAGTCACAGTCGGTTAGGGGGGAAAATGTATAATGGGGTCCAATGACTGTTATGTGTCTGCAATCAGGTTTCTACTAAGGATTCATAAAGGGAAATTATAGAAATGTAGGCTTATAACTTGGAGAAAAATAACTGTACAAAAGAACTGAATTATCTACTATTCTTCCGTGTACAACATGATTGTACAAGAATTAAAGAATGTGTCAAATCTACTTTTAACATCTACGAAACAATGTACACTTTGGAAAAAAATGTGCGTTATTTTATTTTATTTTATTTTTTTTAGCTGCTTTTATGGCAGTAAAAGTCTGGTGGCCACCGCTGCTGTGATCCAAAAATGTCCAATGTTGATTTGCGGACAGCAGGACATCTTTAACTCCCACAATCTTAAATGAGCTGGGTCCAATAAATCCTTGTCATTGTTTCTTTGTAGAGTTATTACCTTGAATCCGTGAATGTCGTTCACTGAAAATAGTTAGCAGGATTCCTGAAAAGAGTTTCTGAGCGCACAGAGTGATTTCACCAACCACATCTTTTCCTTTTTTTTTCCCTTTATTGTAAATGCAGTGCTGCCTGAAGGCCTGGAGATCATGGCTATTCAACATTGGTTTTGTCCCTTATAACCAGGCATTTCTGTTGAATTTCTAAAACTTGAATTAGATTAGGTACCACAGTCAGTGAATTACTTGCAGTTTTAATGTTGCTTAACAATTTGAATATCTAATTCAATATTCCAGAAAGTAGTGAACACTTTCCATTCTTTACCTCTTCATATGCAGCCGTGTTACTTATGACCTGTGGTTGGTTTTAAAAAATGTTTCAGGTATTTTTTTCCACATTTGATAAAAAATAAACGTTGGGTCAGTTTTTCCACAAGCCCCGCTGGTTTAGAGACTTATTCATCATGAAGAAAACAAGACAGTCAGCGATCGATCGATTTACTTGCAAGGGAGGCCTCGTCGGTGTCTACCACGAAAATGACCCCAATGACGGCCTCCTCTCACTGCCTTTTTATTGGGAAAGCAGTTCACACAATGCACATCACAGCAAGGCAACGCCCACATGTTTCTAAGACAAGGCATTGTATGTATATGTGTGAACTAGGGCTGCTCGATTATGGCAAAAATTATAATCACGATTATTTTCACGGAAATTGAGATCTCGATTATTCGACGATATTTATTTAACAACAACAATGTATTGAATAATGACTTTAAAGATTGTCAAAAAATAATATAAAATAGTGTGCAAATACTGATAACAGTGCAAATGTTTACAATATAAAAAAATAAATGAAAAATGTAAACATCTGTGACAGCACTGAGCAGCTCCTTCAGTGGGAGACTGCGGCACCCACGGTGTGGGACGGAGAGATTTCGCAGGTCTTTCCTCCCCACTGCTGTCAGACTCCATAATAAAGACTTTAACTGATCAAGCACACACATCCATACATATGCAATAATACTTTCTGTCATCGTTGTATTTTTACTCAGTTGTATATAGTATTTGTATTCTATTTTTATCTTATTGTATATTTATTTTATTTTATTCTACTGTATATAGTATTTTATTTTATTCTATTCTGTACAGTTGTGTACTGTATTTATTCTTATTGTATTCTAATTTTTGCCTCATAACTTTTGCACTGTCCACTTCCTGCTGTGACAAAACAAATTTCCCACGTGTGGGACTAATAAAGGTTATCTTATCTTATCTTATCTTATCTATGTTTAGTGAACTTTGCAGTGTTGCTCTGTGGAGCAGCTACAACACTGTGGCAAAGTTTACACACTATGTCTACTTGATCCACGTCTGACTCCGCGAACCCATAATGTTTCCACACCACTGAAGGTTTTTTTTACCTCCCTTTTCAACCAACGCCAGTCACTCTCCTCTCCAAATAACTTCTGCTTAGCTTTCCGAGCTTCCCTCGGGTCCTCTTAATTGTTGTGACGCGAGTTCGAAATGCAGAGAGGTGCACTCGATTTGCCACACGGAGCAGCACGAGAGTAAAGCACGAGGGAGGTGCTAATAATCGGCTCAGTCATTTTTAATGATCGTTGAAAGCCCAGATCATAATTTAGATTAAAATTCGATTAATTGAGCAGCCCTAGTGTGAACATCTGTGTGTGTGTGTGTGTGTGTGTGTGTGTGTGTGTGTGTGTGTGTGTGTGTGTGTGACCTCCTGCTGACCAAAGGGTCATAAAAGCAGGAGCAACATCACAAGAAACAGATCTTCCAGATAGGATGTATCTGCAATAAAACACTACAGCCCCCCCAGAACCTCGAGAGGCTGGGGAGGGGGACAAAAGAATGAATTCCTTTCATCACAGAGTTAAAACAATGTAGAAATGGTAA